GACCGTTGAAAGATTGACACGTGTCAAGCCTTTATTGGGCCACGTGTCTTAGGGTATTTTCACCCTAAACATCCATCCGGGTGAATCACTGGAGAGAACAACTCCCTTCTGGGTGGAACATTGTTCTAGCGATCCAATAACTCAAACGGCGTTTGTCTAAAACGATTTGCAGCCGTTAGAAATGATCCTTTGCATCTAGCATTCATCCGGCAAGGACCCAAAAGAGGTCCATCCGGAAAAATGAAATTCCTAATGGGCCACCGTAACCACCTAAACGGTTTTACATCCCATCCTATATATAATTGTACCAGACGGGGCAAGGTTAGGTCAGTCACTGTCCCCCCATCCGGCTTCCATGAAACGACTGCCAGTCTACTGTTGGGGTAAACAGGTAGCCATTTCAGGGGCATATTGTGGTATCTCTTCTTCATCCGGCATATATAGAACGGCTGAAATACTTGTAAAAATGCATAAATAAAAAAATGCTAATAATAGAGATAGCAAAACCGACTGTCGGTTAATAGATTAATATTAATCTAATTGAAATGTTAGCCGGACCCCTGTCCGGGAAAGATACATCGAAAATACACGGCACGCAAGCCGAAAAAAAAGAAAATATCAATCTTGCTGTTGCTCTTGTTGCTGAGGCTGCTCCAACCCTTGAGCTTGCCCAACCTGAGTCTCAGCCGTCTGCTCTTGCAGCTGCTTCGGCTGGTTTCCCATTGGCACCCCATCCGGCTCTGACCCTAACCCCTTCTCAGCCCACTCGTCGAAAGGAGGAGGGGCAGGAGTGCCGAGTACTCGAGCTTCATAAACTTCAGAAGCATACAAGTAACGGAGGTTGAAATAGTCAAAGTCAGAGTCCGGATGGATGAGGCCCCAAGCCAGCTTCATGCGCTCCTCGCAGTCGGCTTCATTCTCTGTAATCAGGCGGCTGAGTTCCTCGTTCAGCTCTTTTTTGTGGGCCGCCTGAATATTAGTGAGTTGGACAGTCAGCTCGCTGTTCTTCTGGCGGAGGTTGGCATTTTCCTTGTCAGCTCCTTCCAGAGCTCTGAGATCAGCCTGGAGGTCCTTGACCTTAAGCTCAAGTTCATCAATTTTCTTCTTGGCCTCATCCCCAGCCAGCACAGCCTCTTTCAGTAATTCCTCCTGTTGCAACTCTCTCTCTTTAGTTGCCAAATCATATTTAATAGTGTGAAATTGACTAACGTCAATTAGGTCAAGGGCACACTTCTGAGCGTCTCTTACCTCCTCTTGCTTTTTACGCAAGGGGACTCGGAGCCCGTCCACTCTCAGCATCACCTATGGTACCAACCGGAAAAGGAGTTGGAACTAATGATGACAATTACTACTCATCCGGCAAAAGCAGAGCTTGAGACAAGCATAGGGCATTCGGGTTATTTACCTCAGCAAGAAGAGAGTTGATGCGATCCAGGTTAACCTGGTGTACAGCCGGCACCGCCTCCTTTTCAGAACGGGTCAGAGTCTTGACCATTCTCTTGGCGTATTGGTTGTAGTCGGGCCGGCTGGTAGAGTCATCTGCAAAGGAAGGGTTATCTGTCAGATACTGGGCATAGGCGCCGCCTATATTCATGCGGCTGCCAGAGGAGCCCCCAGACTGGCTTGCTTGAGTTTTGACTCTCATATGCCCAAGCGGCCAGGGGGGGTCAAAGGCAGAGGTTTTACCTTGTTCAGGCTGTGGGGTGCCATCCCCCCCAGCCGCATCTGAGCCAGATCCCATCCGGGTCTGGCCCGCCGAAGCACTCGGCGTTAGCTGCAGGCTCTTCCCTGCAGTGGTTGGCCTGGCAGGGTCAGACGTCCTCTTTGCAGGACTAGCTGCCAAAGGTGGACCCGGCAGCCTTGGAGCTTTTGAAGCCGGCTGGGGTATCACACCAGCCGGTCTTTTGTGCATGCTTGCTAGTGATTTTGGCATGCCTTGGGTTCCACCCTGAAAATAGTCAAAACAAAGCAATCAGTTAGAAACAAAGGCAGCTCATCATATGTCATCCGGTAAGAAATGGAAGAGGTTTTACCCCAGCATTCTTGGCGGCCAGTGCCGCCTTCTTCTCTTCGATTTGCTTCTTTCTCAGCTCAATAGCTGAGAAGGCAGGTGTCTTTTCAGGAGGCACCATTCTTTTAGCTTTACCTGCAAAAAAGGGAAATTCGAGTTAGAGCGTGTACGCATAATCAGACGTCAGAATACCGGATGGGTTAATGAACCTACTCTTTTTAAACATTGAACTTAGATTGCAAAGGGACAAGAAGGACTCGTCCCTGAACCATTCCGGGAGGGGTACCCAGAACTTTGGGACGATGATTTCACTACCGTCCTCCATCAGATGGATAAGATACTTAGAATGATTCATAAGGTCATGTAAAATAATAGTGAAATTTCCATATATGGGATAGTAAGGTTTGAGGAGACAAATTGGAGAAGAGAGAAGGGAATTCTGAATTCCTAAATTTTCGATTTAATATTTTTGATATGAACTTCATTACTCCATGTCCATATTCTTACCTAAAAAATTGTTGTCCATTCATCCTCTCTGACTCTCTTCCCCCTTGAATGATTTCTGTGGCATGTGATTAGATTGATGCTGCTCTGAAAGAGGGAGTTGATGTACTGAAGCTAATGCCATCAGAGGGCTTTACGGAATGTGCAAGGTGGTTCAACAGTGAACAAAAGTACAAGTATATAAGGCCACATACCACATTTAAGTTAGAAAGCATGGACAATCATCTGGCTCCTTAATTTGGTATTTCCAGTAAGCACATGGCAAACCAAAGCAGCAAGTTTAAGTTCTGTTGTCAAGTAGCAGTTTTCTTTTATATCGCTGTAATTAGATATTGCTCCTTGCTTGTGTTGTAATAAGTATATACCTTGTGATTAATAGCAAGACTCAACAATAGTTGATTGGCTCTAATTATTATCTTAATAGAATTGATTGTTGATGAGAATCAGCGACATGCAAATCTATTGTGACTTTGTGAGAGTGTCAAGTCTGTCAACCACAAAGTTGACAAGTCTTGTTAGTATGGGAAATGATTTTGGCACACTAAACATTGTCATTTGGCACCAGATTGAGAATACAGTTTTCCGCTCTTTAATCACTAGGATGTGTACCAAAGTCTATCTAAGGTTTGCCAAAACCAGTTTACCACAAGATCTTCTCAATTGCTAAACATCGCCCGCGAATCTCCACATAAAGCCCACAAAATTAGAGTGAATTGTCACTTTTGCCCTCAAAGTAAAAAACACAATTTCTTCTCTCAATTCTCTACTTCCACTTTCTCTCTCTAAAAAACTTTCCGAGCGATGTCGAGGCGGCCCGGCAAGGAAGTGGCGGCATAGGCGGCGGGTGGACAGCGGTTTTCCGGCGAGAAGGTATTTTTTATTAATTTTGTGTTTAAAAATTTAAAAAAAAAGGTCGGAGGCGGTGGCGGCGCCTAGGCCAGACGCCACCACCACGGCGGCGGCGTCTAGCCCAGACGCCACTACCACGGCGGCGGCGCCTAGGCCAGACGCCGTGACGGTAGCGGTGGCGTCTGGCCCAGGCGCCAAAACCACGGTACCGGCGTCTGGCCTAGGCGCCGCCGCCGTGGTAGTGGCGTCTGGGCTAGACGCCGCCGCCACCGTAACGGCGTCTGGCCTAGGCGCCGCCGCCTTTTTATTTTTTTTTTTTAATTTTTTTTTGGTTTTAAATTTGAAATTTAATTTTCGAAAATAATTATTTTTTTTTTGATTTTTTTTTAAATTTGTTTTTCTTTTTTTTAATTTTAAATTTTATGTTTCTGATTTTTTTTTTATTTTGTTTTAAATTTTGTTGGTTTTTTTTAAAAAAATTTTATGTTCCTCTTTTTTTTTTTTTAATTTTTAATTTTATGTTCTTGTTTATTGTTCTTGTTTTTTTTTTTTTTGAATTAGTTTTTTTACTTACAAAAAATTTTATGTTCCCTTTTTTTTGTTATAAATTTTTTTTAAAATTTTGATGTTCTTCTTTTTTTAAGTTTTTATAATTTTATATTTTTCACTTTGTTTTTTCCAATTTGTTTTTTTTGGGTAATTTTTTTTTTTGCTTTGTTTTTTCCAATTTTTTATTTATTTATTTATTAGGTTATTAATTTTTTTATTTTTAGGTTGTTAATATTTTGTAATGTTTTTAATTTATTTTCCATCATATGTATATTGTTTTATTTATTTATTTTAATTACTTTTTTTTTATGTTTATATTACATGTTTATATTGCATATTACATGTTTTGTTATTTTGTGTTAGGCATCGTATTTTCGTTCTGGGGCTGGGAAGAGTATGGACATTATGAGAAGTACGATGAACTCAATGGAGAGCTCGGGGCCCAGACACGTTAGATCCCGTGGTATTTCGGCCTCGGCTCGTAGAGAACGGGTGCACTATTCTGAGGATGATGAAGATGATGATGGTGATGAGGAGGAGGAGGAGGAGGATGCAGATGAGGATGTGGACGATCAGAGTGGACCATATGATGATTACGGTCCATTCAGTCAGAGGCTTGATGATGTGTATGAGACGCGTAGGGTAGACGTGCGTAAGGGTAGAGATGGTAGATTTGTTAGTAGATCTGGCACATCATCTGCGTCCACTGTGTCTGCGGTTAGCAGAAAACGGTCGAGGGCCGTTAATGATTCTTGGGTGGTGAGGGGCGAGGTGGCTGGGGGACCTATAGACGGGAGTGTGATTCCTAGCTTTCTAGGACACATCGCTACCCGTATTTGGGAGGACCAAGAGCGGGCTTTGGATAGCGGCATTTTGAAATGCCAAACCCGGGAGAGGACTTGTAACTTCTTGTGTAGTTGGGCTGAGGCTTGGCCGGAGGAGAGCGAGATGGTCGGCCGATTGAGGGCCACTAGAGTGAGCCACCTTCCTGCCACCATGCATGAGAGGATTGACTCGACGCTGATCACGGCTTTCGTTGAGCGATGGCAGCCGGACACGAACTCTTTCCACCTTCCGTTCGGTGAGATGACGATCATGTTGCATGACGTCGAGGCACTTGGCAGATTTATTGGCGGAGCTGTTGGCGGTGGATAGGGCTGCGCTGTACACAGCGGCACTTGGTGTGTGGGATCACGGCGGTGTTAAGATCGCAGCAGTTTTGCAGCGATGTTTGCACCCCACTTCACGTAGGACGCAGGACACACAGCTGGCTGCATATGTTTTTCTTCTTCTCGGGTGTACCTTGTTTCCGGATAAGAGCGGAAACAAGCTCAGGCCACGCGACATAGTTGACGCGTGTGAGCCCGACAGAGTAGGCCAGTTTTCTTGGGGGTCGGCTACATTAGCGTACATGTATCGCCAGTTAGGATTCTCGAGCCGGGCTGATGCGGCAGGTATCACTGGATGTATGAAGTTGTTACAGACGTGGATATACGAGTATTTCCCGGCGTTTCGACCACACCGCGACCCGGTTCCTATTGGGGATGGCCAGCCACGTGCCTGTGCGTGGAGTCCGCGTGTCGAGAAGAAGTCCATTGACCGCCTGCGATCGATACGGTTATTGCTTGACAGGATGTCCCCATTAGAGGTAAAGTGTTTAAATTATTTCTACTTTTATAGTTTGATGTGTTTATTGTATGAATCTTACTAATTTTAAAAAATGTGCAGGTGAACTGGATGCCTTTCGGCCAGAACCCTAGTAATAGGGTACCCAGGACCCTCTACACGGGACTGATTCAGTATCGTGAGATCGTAGAGGCGTACATGCCGCAGCGCTGTCTTCGCCAGCTTGGATATGTCCAAGTTGTTCCTCCTCCACCAGCATGGCCCAGTAAGGCCGTCCGATCTGCGTCGTTGAAGGAGTACGTCGTCCAATGGCCGGCAAGCATGATTGGCACGTGGGAGCAGTTTCCGATGGTTGCCCGCATATGGATTGAGCAGTTGCAGCGGCCGCCAACTGGGGTGGCTGCCATGTGTGACCAGCACTACATGGAGTGGTACAACCGGCACTCGCACCCGAGGTTGATCAGAGACGTCCACCACGGCGACGACGCCGATGATGATGATGTGCCACCGCCCACTGCCGTGGATGCGGTACGTCTCATAAAACATTTGTAGTTGTGTTTTTTTTCATATAATACGTCTCATAATACGTCGTTATTGAATTTTATGTGTTTTGTTATGTGTAGTGGATGGGAAAGATGACGCAGTTGGGACACAGACTTTTTGAGGAGAGGGACAACATGACGACTGCAACAGGCAGAGCTGTTATTGATGAACTGGAACGGGCCCTTGAGCAGTGGCAGTGGGCGTCACAGAGAGATTATTGATATGTCGGCAGTGCATTTATAAAACATTTTCCTAGTTGTTTGTAAAAGTTAACATTATCTGTTCTTATAATTATTATTTTAAGTTCTTAGAATTTGACATTATATTTTTAGTTTTTATAACTTTTATTTTAAGTTGTAATTAGTGGGCATACGAAAACTAAATACAGGTTCACATTTAAATGGGAAAACTAAATACGAAAATTAGAATCCGAAAATTAAATAAATGGGAAAAACATAGCAATAGCAATATTCCAAGGCTCGGTCGTACTCTGCCTCCGTGGTAGCTTGCAGGATCTTCCGCCACTTACCATTTACCAATCTCTCTGCTGAATCTAAGTTCTTGTTGAAAAGGTTGTAGGCTTTGACTTTCACGCATTTGTTGATGTGCCATGTGCACAGTAAATGGCTCGACTCCGGAAACAGCTCCGCTATAGGGGCAAAGAGACCTCCCTCACAATCGCTGACGATGGCCGATGGCTGAACACTTGGGCCGATGTAATTTCTCAACTTCTCCAACACCCAACGGTAACTCGCAACCGTCTCATCCTTCATAACTGCATAACCAATCAAAAAGTTCTGGTTCGTTGGAGTCATCCCAACCATCTCAACCAGTGGAAACTTATACTTGTTTGTCTTGTACGTTGAATCGATCAGAATCACAGATGGCCAAGACGAAATCATATCAGCACAATCAGGATGCACAAGGAACAAATGAGTCACCTCCGATGTGTCTTCATCAGATTCAAACCAGTACAGGTAACCACGTGCTTGTGCCTGGTGTAGAAGCTGCTGTATAGGGTTCCTTCCCTCTGACCGTTCAAACCTCAATTTATGTCTGACGTTGTAGATGTGTCTTCGGTTTGGCTGGTCTTCAGGAAATTTCTCCAACACAGATGCTAATATTTTAGCAGGCTTCACTTGAGCATCACTCATTTCTTTTACAATTAGTTTCGCAGCAGGACTTAGGCCACTTAACTGTCGATGACCCACTTCATATGCGATCATCTCATGGTTGTGATACCCCCATTTACCGTAACTCTTCACTTCCCAACCGTCACCCCTTTGCTGTTGTCGAACCTTTACTCTGAACTGACACCCACAACCTTTCCGCTTTGTATCAAACCGAATCGCTTGACTGAAATCTCGTTCCTCCCTTTTGCGATAACGGTCGCATCTCAAAATGCGATCCATTCTACCATCCCGTTGAGATTTATGAGTTGCTACTACTAAACAAAAACCTGATCTAATTGCAACCTGTTTCGCCCAATCAACCGCTTGTTGAGCATCTTCGAACAGACCATCGTGTACAAAAATCCCACTATAATCATTTCCGTCTCCACCATAATCCTGCAACAATAACATATAAATATAATCACATAAGAGTAGATTAAATTAATACATTTGACACAACATTAGCACAAAAGCAAAAACAATAATAAATTATAAACAACAAACAAAGAAATAAACAAAAAGTATTCAAAAAAAAAAAAAAACAAAACACAAAAATAAAAAACATAAACAAAACTTTAGATTAAATAAATAAAAATAAACCAAAAAAATAAAAACAAAAAAAAAACATAAAACGAAAAAAATTGTAAAAAAAAAAATAAAAAATAAATAAATTAAAAACAAAAACAAATTAAAACAATTAAAAACAAAACAAAAAAAAAACCAAAAAAAAAAGAAAAAAATTGTAACACAAAAAAAAAAAAAAAACAAATTTTAAATTAAATTAAAAAAAAAAAAAAAAAAAAAATAGTGGTGGCGCCTAGCCAGGACGCCGCCACCGTGGCGGTGGCGTCTAGCCAGGACGCCGCCACCGTGGCGGTGGCGCCTGGCCAGGACGCCGCCACCGTGGCGGCGGCGTCTTGGCCAGACGCCATAGCCACGGTGGCGGCGTCCTGGCCAGGCGCCAGAGCCACGGTGGCGGCGTCCTGGCTAGGCGCCACCACTACGGTCACGGCGTCCCGGCAGGACGCCAGCCGCCAATTCGTGGTTTTAGATGGCTTCGTACCTCCTTTTCCGGCGTCAACGGCGTCTCTCCGGTGCATCTACCCGACGTTGAGGGCTCTTCGGTTTCACTCGGCGATCCAGTCCTGCTCCACATTTTTTATGAGTGAAAAATTTTATTTTCGGTAAAAATTAAAACAAGGGCAATAATGTCAACATTTTTAAAAAATGTGGGCTTTATGTAGAAAAACGCGGGCGATGTTTAACAAATCCCAAGATCTTTACTCGCATCACATGGACACCCAACAATGTCCTGGCCAAAACAACGTTGTGGCCTGGTTAGGTTGGGTCTACTAGTGTATGAAGTAAAAATGTAATGCCACTAGCTTAATAGGTAAAGTGTTAAGGTTGATAACCTAAATTAGAATTTTATTTACACCATTGAACTTTGATACTTAATATATACAACAAATATTTTGCATGAAATGGCATATATTGTCGAACTACTTGTTTCATATCCATTTTATACTACATTAAATTACCTTTTCCCTAAAAAAAATATTACAGTTTTTTTACTAAAGGTGTATCCAATTCAACTTTTTTTTTTTTTTTTTTTTTTTTTTTTTTTTTAACTCAAAAAAATTTCAAAATAAAATCAAACAAAATTCATATAAATCCAAATAGTAATTTAATAAAGTGTGGTGTATAGATTATGCCTAAGCAGCAACATGATGAAACCCCATTACTTCCGTCCAAATAAGTGAAGAGGAGAGAGTGAGGGGAAGCTTTAGGGATAGCTTAAGTGGTTAAAGCTTCCCTCTCGCCCGCTTCTAGGTGATCTTGGGATCGATTGCCATCACTCGTCCTTTGTGGCTCCCAAAACACCAAAAAAAAAAAAAAAAATAAGTGAAGAGGAAAAGAAATCTAATCTATAGGTAAGGAAGAGGGGAGAACTAAAGGATTTGGAGCAACCGTGACCACCAAACACATTTTTCCTTTCTTTTGGCGGAACTTGTTGTGGCACAAAGTTAGAGAGTATAGACAATTCAAAACACAGACATTAAATTAAAACATAAAAATGAGTAGCTTGGAAATTTCTGTCTGTAATTCAGACCTCCATTTCCATAGCAACAGCAGCAGCAGAACAAGCAAAAGTAGAAGAAGAGCAAGGAACTACCTGAAATTTTCACAACCCACTTTTCATAACTCTCTTTTTGTACCCAATTTCTCAACCTCCTCAATTTCAACAAAACCCAAAACTGTAGTTAGCTCTTTTTCTGCTGATCACCCCACATACACCCTTGAACATCAACCACCTGTCCATTCTTGGTAATTTTCTCTTCTCTTTCATTTCATTTTTTTGATAAAATAATTTATCATTTCAAACTAATTTTCATGTTAATTTAACAACCAAAGCCAGTGGAAATGGAGGGGTTATTCGATTCGGTATCAACGCTGTGGAGATACTGGCCCTGCATTTGTTCTCGTCCATGGTTTCGGAGCAAACAGGTTTTTTTCTTTATTCAAGTGTATAAAATGTGAATATAACTTCATTCATTCATTTATTGATTGGTGGTTGCCCTGTTTCTTGTCAACAGTGATCATTGGAGGAAAAACCTACCAGTTTTGGGAGTGTCACACAGGGTTTACTCCATTGATCTCATTGGTTATGGTTACTCTGACAAACCCAACCCTCGCGACTTTGGCCTTACTTCTTTTTATACCTTTGAGACGTGGGCATCCCAGCTTAATGACTTCTGTGTTGAGGTTGTCAAAGATGAGGCATTCTTTATATGCAACTCTATTGGAGGTGCCTACTTTTCATTGTCATCATCTGTATTACTTCTTGTATTAATTTCTTAAGCAACACTCGTGGTCATATAGATTAGCAGCAACGAACAATGTTAACTATCTGACATGCATTTAGCTTGCCTAACCAAAGCATGTGATCATTTCTTGTAGGTCTTGTTGGGCTTCAGGCTGCAGTTATGGAGCCACAGATTTGCAAAGGTCTTATGCTACTAAACATATCTCTTCGTATGCTTCATATCAAAAAGCAGCCTCCACTAGGCAGACCTCTGATTAAAGGCTTTCAGAGTTTACTGCGGTAATAGATTTTGCCTGCACCCAACAGTCCCTTTGCTGTGTTCCAACTCAATCTGTAACATCTTTTGGTTTGTTATCTGGCAGAAATACCGGTCTAGGTAAACTGTTTTTCAGAACAGTAGCCACACCTCAATCTGTCAGGAACATTCTGTGCCAGGTATGAACTGTTTTGTCAAGTTATTTGCACTCTCAAAACCAAAGTTAGGATCATTATGATCTCTTGAAATGTAGAGGCCTAATATTAAAGAGTATAGTAGTAGCCTAGCTACCAGCAGGAATGCAACTTAGCTTGTTTCACTAGAAGGATATGTAAAAATGGAACACACGTACAGTCAAATGTTTTGGTTTCTCCATGCAACCTGCAGTCACTGTTGGTTTGATACGAAGTTTGGCACACAGCTGGTGTAATGTGTACTTGTCTTCTTGCTAAGATCATGGGGGATGAAGGGGGTGGGGGATTGCCTTGTTGCTCATTCTTGTCACTGCATCTTTTTATGCATGAAGTAGAAAGGTTCATGTAGAAATCACAGTGCTTTTATCTGGATAATTTGTGAACAGAACCATCTCTATGTTGTTATGGAAGAAAGGGGGATGGCTATGCTTAGACTAACAGATGTTATTTCAGTGTTACAATGACACCTCCCAAGTGACAGAGGAACTAGTTGAGAAAATCCTTCTTCCTGGGTTAGAACCTGGTGCTGTTGATGTGTTTCTGGAGTTTATCTGTTATTCGGATGGTCCTCTTCCTGAGGAGCTATTGCCTCTAGTCAAGGTCAGCGGTGGTTAAATCTTAAATGCTGCTCTTTAGTTCCTTATTCTCTCATATATGGTAATGATATGAGTCAATATGGGTGTGTCCTCAGATCTGAACACATACAAATTTTGTTCCTCTTTGCAGTGCCCGGTACTAATTGTTTGGGGTGACAAAGATCCATGGGAACCCATTGAGCTTGGAAGAGCTTATGCAAACTTTGATACTGTTGAAGACTTCATTGTCTTGCCTGGTGTAGGCCACTGTCCTCAGGTCTGTCTTCCTTGCTTTAAACATACACTTTGACTTAGTTTTTTTAGCTCCTATGCTTGGTAACTATTAACTTTATGCCTGGTCTATCAACTGCATTAATTTGTTGTGCAGGATGAAGCACCTCATTTGGTTAACCCATTGGTGGAGGCATTTGCAGAACGTCACTCTGCAACCAGAACTGGTGGATCATCAGTGTGAGAGAATGTTTGTGAACTGTTGATTGCCCTTTTCTTGGTTGAAGATGGTTCATTTGCTAGTGATGCTGAATTGCTGAGTGCTGCAGATCTGATGTTTGGATTGAGATGTGGATAAGCTGGAAGTCTGAGACTTAATGTTGCTTGGTGTGATTTATCATAATTTTGTTCTACCTGTTTTCCAGTTGCTTGAACCCTAATAGAGTGTTCAGAACATGCAAAAATAAGACATTCAGGCAGTTCTTCATACTGGATTTGAACAAATGAAGTGATATACTTTTGTACTCCATCAAAATACATGTATGAATCTCAAATTGATGTTTATAAAATCCAATATACAGCATTTTGTACTCCATCAATAATACATTGTATATATCTCAAATGAAAAAATGTTAATTGCAAAGCATGGAACCAGCCATTTTGTGTAAAAATGTCTGCATGTGTGAGTGCTCGTGCTTGTAAAATGGATCTCAGATGAGATAATTGGAGGAACTTATCTTCCTGAAGTTGGAGTGAAATAGCTAACCAAGGTCTGCTCCTTTGATCACACAGAACTTGCAAATTGTGTATGGTGAGATTTCTTTTTTGATAGTTGTCAAATGTGATTTAATGTACCAGCTCCCAGACTACAATAATTTACCATCCATGATGTAAACATGATGATTTACCTTTGGCATTTCTCCAACTGATGATGTCTAAAGGACGCTTCAACAGGAAAATTTATGCAAAATTGTCAGTGAAATACATAGAATCAGAGTTACCTTATAGTAATAAAGTAGCAGATATATGGATGGAGGGTTCTTAACCATACTCGGGCAACATCTAATGCCAGGCAAATTTACAAGTGACTGCTAAAATACATCCAATCAATTGCTTATAGGTGTTAATTAACAGTTTCCTAGCCCAGCCATTTGCGACGAGTGATATAAATAGCCAATGAACTGAAACAACTTACAAAGTGTTACAGTCATCTACTCACTTGAGCTTCAAAACCTCGACAAGGCAGAATAAGAAAAAGTTGATAGAAAGAAAGCCAAACTTCTGCTGATGCCTATCTAAACCACCATGCAACAAGGAGAGATAAAAAAAGCTCAGAATTCAGGACTCGAGTTAAAAATTACAGAGAATAACAATGGAACACAACTCTTTGATCAGGATTACGTATGCCTTAAAGTTGGAAACTGTCAAAAATAAAGCAATATTCAATCACTCAATGATCACCTAATATTTAAATCAGTAGAGAATTCAAATCAAAGATATAATTCATGAAAGGTGGTGAAACATCTGCTGCATGACAAGATAAGTTATGCTTGCATAGACTTCATATCATAGAATCTTAATTCTTTTCGTTCAGTAAATTGGTGGGTGGTGAGCCAGACACTAGGATTAGTACACAAGTGAAAAAGGTATTATCTGTTTTTTGGTAAAAAGAAAATAAATTCTATTAACTGCACAAATCGAAACGAAATGGTACAAAAAATTAACATATCCAATCATTGTTGAAGAACAGACTAAAAATCTGGAATGAACGACCAAAATAAAACTGGCATGTGTAATGCTGATAGAGACACATGTACTGCATGATGTACAGAACTCAAATTGTAAGAATATAATGGACAATGTCCAGACCTGATCAACATGTATTGATACCATCCTTGCAGTCGCTGGTCAAGTTGTAGAATGTCTCCACCCGCGTCTTTCCCCTGATAAAAACCTCTGTATCTATCTCAGCTCTCATGTAACCATCAAAATTGACCGGGCGACCACCATTCAAAGCTGTAGTTTCATTATACCAATCACTCGTGTTACCCCACAACTCCTTGTAATCATCAAGCAAATGCACCTTGTAGTGTGACCTTAGTTTATCGAAGTAGTTATAGAAAGGCTCGTTTGTGGCAATATACAAATTCCTCCAAGGCTGTATCATTCCTTGAAGCTTTGAGACAATAGCTTCAGGAGATGTGTCGGCATCCAGATGAGGCCACAGTTGCTTGTTCTGAGCCTTTTCTCCTCGTACCACGTGAACTGCATCAAAATCCCAATCCATTTTTCCGCTAATCTCAGAAACTATATTCATCAGCCTCTTTGATTTCCAGAGTGCATGCCACGGTCTCTTAATGTTGTTTGCAGCTTGTCCCTCACAAACCCTGTACCAATAATTTTCTGGTTCCGGAGCATCAAAGTGCCTCCATATGATGGTGCTTCTATCCTTCTTTAGTTGCATGGGTGTGGTCTTATAGCTTGCCACCTTCCTCACTGGAATCTTCCTCTTATGATTCTTGTCCCATCTTTTCCAATCCCTGAGGAATTCCCGTTCCTCCACAATGGAGGCCTCCTCCTTGAGATGCTCAAAGTCGAAATAGAACCTAAAGTCCTTCCCCTCCTCATCCTTGCCACTAGGATTATACTGAGAAGCCAAACAAACACTCAAATCCATCACGAACGTCCTGTTCAAATACTGAGCTTCCCCCAAAGCACACAAGAAACTCCACATATAATGATTCATTCCTTTGCAATAATCCCCACCACGGGAATAATACAAGTACCTCCCTCTCCTAAAATTTGTATCCGAGTTAATCTTGGGTATGGTATCATTGATCTCACTGTCCCGGTAGGGAGCACTGATCTTGGGATTACGATTGGCAGGCGTGGGTCGTGGTCTAGGGCGCCTAGCATTAACACCAGAATGCCAGCCACTAGCACCAATAACCTTATAAGCACAATCATCCCCAAGGCCAATCCTAAAACGACGAAAATCCCTGTATTTCCTCCAAGACTTCTCCTTTCTGTTCCTAAACTTCCAAGCCACATCACACTGATTAGGCTTAGAACCATTAACAGGAGTAGAATACTCCAAGAAGACAATGGACTTAAACAACCTCAAATTAAAGCGCTCAATAGCGATCAAAACACGAGGGTCAGAACAATTAACGCCGTCCTCGAGGTCCTCAGCACAAGCTGTCGGACCGAGGGTGGCGTTAGAGGTAAGATTATGCTCATAATTAGCAATGACAGTCTCAGTAATAGGTTGCAGAACAGAAGAAGGAGCAAGAGCAGGAGGAAGGGAGAAATCCTCGCCGGTTTTAAGGACGGAAGAGTCATCTTTGAAAGTGGCATTCTCAACCTGAGTGAAGAGGTGAGTAAGAGCAGGAGCAGATTCAAGCCATGGATCTGGGGGTTGGTAAGTGATTGCAATGACAGTGATTATTAATACTGCAAATACAAATACAGAGAAGCATACATTGCTGATTTGCTTTATTAGCTTTTGGGTTATGGGGGCTTCTGCTGAATTCAGCGGCTCTTTCATTTTCAAGATCAAATCTTTCTCCCTAATTTAATTGATTTGATCTAGGGTTTGTAAAGCAAGTTCAAATTGCAAAAAGCATTAAAAGATTGAATTTTGGATCTAGAATCTAGAGAGAGAAAATCATGGAGATTGAAGGTGAAAACTTACAGTTAGCTGTAGGATAGAGGAAGTCTGTAAATCTTCATCCTCTCCGAAGCTGTTGAGTAGAAATGAATCAACTTGAGTAATTGAGTTGAGTGTGAGTTAAGTAGAAGTTTCTGGGCCCCATAGATCAAGTTAAGCTATCACTATAAATCTATAATAATCATGTACTAATTGAGGTATTTGCCGACAATAATCACTTATCAATTATCATTGTATTTTTATATTTTTTTTCAAAAATATTGTTAATTTTTGTCACTAAAACCTTTATAATTTTATTTTATTTTATTTTATTTTTATTTTTGTGGCTGAGATTTATTTTATGCAAATTTACTAGAGTAAAACATAAACAAGTTCTTACTTTTTAACTATTCACTAATGAGGCACTTATCGATATATTATTCACCGTTTGTGATCTCATCCACCTTTTTCGATCAAAGTTGACTATTGTGATTAAAAAGAAGTTAAGTTATTGAGTTAAAGAATAGGGAAATTCACGTCCGATCTCACAAAGTCCTTGATCATATTATACCTCCGGCTAAAGGCAAAGAGAAAGTTCCTTCTACCGAGGAAGAGAAGGAATTATGGTCGACTTTGGATGCCACGGTTCTATCGTGGATTTATGCAACCATCTCTATTGACTTACTGATCACTATCATTGAGCCCGACTCAACGGCCATGAATGCCTAGAATAGATTGCGTGATATCTTTCAGGATAATGAACATTCCCGTGCTGTTGCCTTGGAAAAAGACTTCTCCCATACTAATATGGCAGATTTCACGAATGTCTCCTCTTATTGTCAACATCTCAAGTCTCTTGCAAATCAATTGAAGAATGTTGGGGATCCGGTGTCTGAAAGTCGTTTGGTGTTGCAATTGGTTGCGGGTCTGACAACGCCATACAAAGCTGTAGGTACGTTAATCCGTCAAAGCAACCCTTTTATAAAGCCCGGTCTATGTTGATCCTTGAAGAAGCTGGTTTGGCCAAAGACGCAACCACTTCACATGATTCTGCCATGTTTGTCACTTCGCATGATGAGTCTCCAGTACAATATGACAAGCAAGTCTAGTCAACATTCCAGAGGAAACAATGGTGGTAAAGGTACTGGTGGTCGCCGCAATTCTGGTGGTGGTCGAAAGAACAACAACCGTAATCAACGCGGTGGAAAATTCTGGAGGTCGGGGTCACCATAATGGCGGTGGTAAAGAGTACTCGTCTATTGGGTTTGTTGGAAACAGATTCGTGGGGTCAACATTACCAACCAATGCCATGGGGTTGGTATAATAATGGGTGGCCCGTTCCACCGTGTCCTTTTCCAACTCAAAGTTGGGCCAGGCCTAATGCACTCCCACTCACCAGGCAGGCCGGTCTTCTGGGACCCAAACCACGACAGCAGGCTTATGTACAACAGGTTCAGCACGCAGGGGGTTCGCATGGTCCATCCGATTATTCTCCTACGGATATCGAGGCTGCCATGAGACAGAGTTTATTTGTTGGTTCTCCTTGTGCCGTGAGACCAGGTTTGTGATCTGATTCGAGTATGATTTTGCTCCTTTTAATATGAGTTTGGTTTTACTCTAAAATAAAACCAATAAGAGACTTGAGTGTGGTTTGCTCTGAAAAACCAATATTTGATTGGAGCTCAGTTTTGCTCAGGAAAAACCAATGAGTGTGGTTTGCTTTAAAAAACCAATATTTGATTGGAGCTCGGTTTTGCTCAAGAAAAACCAAAATTGTTATATCTATAGGTTCAAAAAGAATGACGTTCCTGTTTAATTAATGACTGGTGAGTTCCAAAAAGGTGAATTTTCTCATCATTGGAAAAAAATGAAAAAAATAAATAAATTTGAAGGCGACATCAAGAGAGTAGTGCAATTCAATCGACTTCAACAAAGTGAAGAATTTCCAAATCGCAACAATTCGTGTTACTGTGGTTATGATTGCGCGAGGGTGTTAGAGATATGAGATATCAGAAAATATTTGTGTGATATATTTTCCATAGATATCATTAAGAGATAATATGTTCAGGGTTTTATTATATGTTAGATATTAATTAGAGAATATATCTTTAAGATTTATGGTTAGACTAGTATATCTTTTAAGAAGATTGTTTCATATTTTATAAGCTTAGGCTTTGTATAAATACTCTACCTATTGACGAATAATAAACAAGTCTTTCATTCTCTCTTCACCCTAATTTGTTGATCAGTGTATTCCTCTTTAAATTGCGCCTTATTATAGTTTTCAAGGTTGTCGATCTATCATGGAGGGATTCAAAAGAAGCATAATCAACTATGGAGATGACATGAAAACATTAACATCAATTGCGCAACGGAATAAGGAAAAATTATTAACAACGCCTTTTCGCCGCCTTCCGTTTTAGTGCGTCTACCGGCTGAAGATCTTCTCCGTTGTAAGTGTGTCTGCAAGCGTTGGTGCGATGAAATCGAGAGCCCGAATTTCATCAAATCCCACACTCGCCTCATAACTAATGATAATATCTATAATCCAGCAAATGCCAGTAGCTCCGTCATCATCTATACGCAGAAGGATGACATATAATGAAAAAAAATTTGACAATACTCTCAAGTGTATTGATTTCCACTCTCCTGAGAAACTGAAGATGAAACAACTTCGCTCCATTTATAGTGAAGATACCTCTCCTTGTCTCGTTGGTTCGTGCAATGGCTTGCTCTGCTTCATACAATAGGTTTCTTGTGAAGTAAGAAATTCCAAGCGCCGCGTAATATATAAAAGGAGATTTTGGGTTTACAATCCTATTACCGGCGAGTACAAGATGACGCCTTTTTGGGGAACGTCGTCTAAACGCAGGGCATAAAAATGGGTTTGGTTATGATTGCAAGAGTGGCGATTACAAGATCTTTTGTTTTGCAGTAGATGATGGGACGCAAACAGATACAAGGACGACTCATGCTGTTGTTTACAGCTTGAAGAGCAATTCATGGAAAGTGATTATGGAACCTTGTCCGTTTCAACACGATAGTATTAAAACATCATGTATGGTGCTTTCTAATAATGCACTGCACTTCATAACCAAGTCATATAATATACATGATTTTGACCTTGGAAGCTATAAGTATCACGAGATAGCACGGCCGCATAATGTATTCATGGTGCTAGCTCATTTAAGGGGATGTTTGCATTTGGTATCGTTGACAGAGATATGGATTATGAAGGAATATGGTATAAAAGAGTCATGGACTAAATTGTTTCACTTCTCACTACAAATTGATCGTGCCTTTTCTGGGGAAACATGGATGATGCCCTATGCATATTTTGAGGACGGACCTGAAATTTTGATAATGAAAGGGCCATCTCTTAAGAGCTTCTTTCGTGTGGATCTACATAGTCAACAATTCAGAGAGGTCCAGATTAGTTCAAGTCTACCTGGAATAGCGTGATGCCTTGGGTTGGTTCCTTTGTTTCCCCGGCCTCATTCGGGAGTTCAACTCCTTAATTAATTTCACTAGAATTCTTTAGTTGGCTCTTTTAATCATCTAATATTCATTTGTTTCTTGCTAGTCAAGGAAGTTTATCAGCAAACTGGTTCTTGCCTTCTTGTGATAGCACTCGTAATTTTCATACTTTAACGGTATTTTATCCCTACTAAAATTGTATTTTTACAGTATTTAATGGTTTATCTAAGTACTTAAGTTTCCTTAAATATTTTTGGAGATGTAATCAATGCTGTATTTTAATTAGAATTATTTATGTAAGAATTAGCTTGTTTATTTAATCAGTTATCTATTGAGTTAAATTAAATTTGGTTTAAAATAATTTCTAAATTAACTCAATCTTTAATATAAAATAATTATTAGAGTGGATTACGACTCAATCACCTCAAAAATGTGTGTTTGATGTTGATTAGTTACGTGGATGGATTTTGATGATTTTATAAAATGTTTTAAATTTATTCTAATTTAATGCTATTTTCCTAAGTTAATTTGATTTAAATTAGGAAAATAAAAAGGATCTTGGATTTAATCAAATAAATATATTTTGTACAAATGTGGTCAATTTTTATGAGTGATGAAAAAAACTTCGAGATTTTACTTAGGATTTTATTTTTAAGGACATTGTATTAGAATTGATATAAGAATCCTATTTTACCTTAACTTGCTCTAACAAAATATCTAAACCCAATTGGAGTTGTAAAGTATTCCAAATTTATTTTGGAAAGGGTTTTAGGTATGGTAAAATCATATTTAATAAATATCTTAGATAAGTAATATTCTTGGCAAAAGTCACTTAAATCAATTAGGGTTTTATATAAGTAATTTATACTAGTTTTCTAATTTCTTTTGAATTACATATCTTTCTATCCTTTTATGAATTAATACTCCTTTCATTCTTCATATTCTTCCTCACCCCTAAACCAACTTAAAAAAGGATTTTTAGAAAATAAAAAGAAGTATCTTATTAAAAAAAATATATATAAAATAATTAAGGGAATTATTTTATAAATGAATTTGAATTGTTGAATTTATTTAATTTTAATTTCACAAAATTACTTGAGAAAAATCAAATTGGGTTGAATTAATTTTGAAAATCAGATTAGGCCTCTAGTCAATTCAAACCAGCCATGAAATTAGACCTAATTAGGCTATTTTGATTTAAGTCAACATTTGACCTATTTAATTAATAAAAAAAGGTGATTAAAATGTACATGTAGACCAAATTCACTTAAGTACAAAATTTGTCCATTGCAATTCATGGATCTAAATTAGGTAGGTCATCAAAATGACTAATGAACCTAAAATGCTAAGTGGGCCAAATAAGCCCAAAAGATGTTAGTAAAGGCCATTAGAGTTGGGCGCCTCTAAAACCTAGCCTAGACCAAACCTATATATGGGTCAAAGCCCAATATGAAACCCAAAAGGTCATGTAGGGCTAATGGGCCTTCAACTAAGACCCATGGGTCACACACATGTATCGGGCCAACTTGACCCAAATGATCTTTCCAGGGAAAAGGAGCAGCTTCCGGAACTCATCTTTGTCTTCATCTTCACTGCAACAACACCAACGCATATTACTGTGTTTTGGTAGTGATATTCCTATACTTCCTTTCTTTTCTTTTAAATACAATACACCTTTTTAACACGTTTTTTTAGAAGATGATTCAAATAGGTAGACGAGCTACTTTATCGAAATAATTTTAACACCACAATTAGAGAAGGATTAGCTAATATGTGTATAAATTATTTTGATTAATTTGTCATTTTACCTACACTAATCACCTCCTAAAAAAGCGTGAAAAAAAAGGTTTATTGCATTTAAAAAAAGTACTTAATTAATTGTCAACTACGAGTAGATTAATCTAATCCCCCATCAAATTAATTTATTCCAGGCTTGGTTGATCAAGGTTTAGCATGGGATCTTATCCTCCTCCTAACCAAAACCAGAACCAGGTTCATCTTCACCTTCTCAATTTTGCCCTTTTTCATACATTTTTTTAACTTCAAACTGTGTGATGAATGTTCTTGTTTGTTAACATTTGTGTGCTTAATTTCTTATTGCAACTTTGATCAACTAGGAACCCCATTCTTATCTTGTGCAAATTCATTGCCTTTGTTGCCCCTTACTCAAACTTCTTTAATGCTCCATGTTTGACTCTTTTCAACCAATCAATCACCTGTACTGTACTGTACTAAACTAGTAATAGTATACATGCCACTTTTATTGTATACACACTTCAGTTCCATGCTAAATTGCTAAGTTATTCTTGACTAATCATAAATGTGTTGGTGTCTCATTGTCCTAAGAAATGCTCAGCTTGTATTCAGTGGTTTCCTCACTTCAAGAAGAAGAAGCAGAAGCAGGTACTTGTTATATCAGATCACCTTCACTGGCTGCTTCCTTTTCAACTACTTTCGCAAACTTTACTTGATGGATACCATAATTTCATCAGGGTTTCAAGTTTAAGTTTTGAATGTGTATTAAACTTGTTGGATAACAGTAAGAAAACCTAGCCTTCAGTTGCAGTAGTGCTCTATAGATTAATGTGGTTTTCTTTGGCTAACCATGAATTCTGGCCTTATTTTAGTATAAAATCCTTTCTTCATCAATCAATATGGTTGGCAGGATTCAATTGGAAAGCTACAGAACCGTGACATTATTGTATATGTTCTAGGTAAGTTCTTTTTCAATATTAAGACCTTGTCTGTGTGTTGATTATGGCCGTGCTGCTCGTGTTCCTGTCAGTTACTTGTTGATGCTGATATACTTTCTGGTATCCTAACCGCTAGGTGGTCCTGGGTGTGGAAAGGGAACCCAATGCTCTAAAATTGTACAAGACTTTGGTTTTACTCATCTCAGTGCTGGAGAACTCCTAGAAACTGAAGTAAAGAGTGGATCTGAAACTGGGTTAGTGCCTTAGTTATTTGATTAAATTACGTGCTCTTGGAATTATAATAAAGAATTTGTCTTTCGGCGGTAGATTAGAGGTTGTTAACTTTTATTACACATTATTTTGCTGTGTTTATGCTTCATGGCAACGATATTCATGATAGTAAAGAAATTTGTCTTTCTGCAATAGATTAGAGGTTGTTAGCTTTTAATGTACATAATTTTGCTGTGCTTTTGCTTCATGGTAACAATTTTCATTTGAGATCCTTCCCACCAGAAAAATGATTCAGGAATTCAAGAAGGAAGGAAAATTGGTGCCATCTGAGGTTGTTGCCAACCTTCTGCAACAGGCAATGCAGAGGAGTGAAAACAGAAAATTTCTTATTGATGGCTTCCCTCGCAATGAATAAAATCGTGTGGCTGCTGAGAGAATGGTACAGTACTTAGTTGCATTGCTCGATCATTAGACTTGAGGTTGATTGTAACACATGGTTGCATTGCTTGATCAGACTGGAGGTTGATTATGATGCATTGCTTGATCATTAAACTGCAAATTCATCGTTTAACATTTTTATAGTATTTCATTGATCTTCTTAGTTATAGGGCCTCTACTTCTTACATAATGTTACGTGTTAGCTGTACTGATTCAGTTTGTAAAATTATCATACAGTTGGGGATACAGCCGACTATTGTATTAGTGTTTGACTGTTCTGAAGAGGAGATGATCAGGCGTGTTCTGCACAGAAATCAGGTATGATGTTTCCGTGGTCTGTGAAAGTGTCAAGTTCTTGTTATAAGATCAGCAGTAGGCATTACGTGTTTTTGATTGTTTACATAGGGAAGGGTGGATGATAACATGGACACAATAAGAAAGCGTCTTAAAGTTTACAAAGAATCCACGCTGCCTGTGATTGATTACTTCGCCAAAAAGGGGAAGGTCCGAAAGGTATAATGCTTGACAGCAGCAAGGTGTTTAGATACTAGTATGACCTTTTATGTTATAATTGATAACTTTTGTCTGCATCCTGTTTATATATCAGATTAATGCTGAGAGACCCGTTGAAGAGGTGTTCAGATCAGTGGAGGATGTATTTTCTGAGCTTGGATTAGTGAAGCATAAGACTGAAACTGGGAGAGCATATGTACAAACAGCATAGTTTAGTGTGCTAAAATGATGGGGACAAATATGATTTTCTCTTAGCTTGTTTTGTATTCTTGATATACTTTACCTATCCCCTGTATATATATAGTGTATCCCTGACTTCTTACTCTCTTTTGAAAATTACAGTTTCGTATATGCACGTGTACATTGTATTTCCTGTATTATGTAGGCCATATGAACATATATAGAGATCAATATGTAGAAAATTCAGCTCACGGTAATGAGCTGAATGTGTGTGAGCTCAAGTTCTTCAGAGCCAGCTGAAAATAAAGTGAGGTATAATAAGTATGAACAATTTTGGTAAGAAAATATCGAGTATGAACAATTTTGGTAAGAAAACAATCACATATGTAAGACATTTCCTCCGTTCAATTTAATTTGCTTTTCAATTGTTTTGGTCAAGCTCAATTGAATCTTGTGCTTATTCATGTGAAGTTGGATCTTTGCACAATACATTATCTCTATATCGTTATGACATTAACTTCAATTTTTTTTTCCTTGTAATATTTGGTTGTATCCACAGTAAAGAAATTTGGCATACATAAGCAAGAAGACTGATGGGGTTTCAGAGAGGCAGGTAGCTTTTGGTAATGGCAGAAAGTCAGAAACTTGTGAGCTGTTTTATATTTAAGAAGTAAGGTACTCAATAATGGACAAAGGTGCTAATCAAATATGGAGAATGTAAGACCTTGTTCGGTTACACCATATAATAAAATATATAGTATAGTACTCCCTCCGTCTCTAAAAGAATGACCCTTTTGGGAAATTTTTACGGGTATTAAGAAACTTAAGTGGGAAGTATAAGTGTACGGGGAAGCTAATAAAAATACATTGAAAAGGTAAATTTACATAGAATTTGTAAACAAGTAGAGAGAGAAAGTAATAAAAATACATGGAAAAAGCAAAATTTACATGAAAAACTAATTTTGCACAAATATTATTGCAAATTAGAGGGTATTTTTATGTAATTGAGATGAATATTTTGGGACTAAAATTTGACTAAAAGGGGCTTTTTTTTAGGACGGAGGGAGTATATAATATAATGTTTGTTATTGAATAAATTTCTGAGACATGATATATTAATATAAATGGCAAGAGAAGCTGAAATGAAGGAGATAGTAGCACGTGTAAGTCATGCAGAGAAGGAATAGGAAAGGGAAAGTGAGTAATGTGATAGCATGCATGCGATTAGCGTCAGCACTTGTTTGATTTGTTGTGTTAATCGGCGCACTGAAACTTTGGATATATTGACTACCAACTATGTCTGCGTCTGTGGTGTTATGTATATCTGCTTAAATCACCAACAAAACAAACACCTGCCTCTGTGGATTCAGCTTTGAGTACCGGAGACATGTCGGAAAGTGAACCAGAAGAGCTTAGCTATGTCGATCTCAAGAACCGGATGTGGAAGGACCAGGTGCGCATGAAGAAGCTCAAATCACAGAAGCACGCCTCAGAGGCCGAGGCAGAAACAGCGGCAGTTGCAGCAATAGATGATGATGAAATTGGGGAGAGTGAAATTATTAACGAATCAACCACAGCTGCAGCCAGAGAAGAAAAGTCGAGGCGTAAGAAGATGCTGAGATCTCAAGACGCCATCTTAAAGTACATGGTTAAACTGATGGAAGTCTGCAAAGCACAAGGCTTTGTCTATGGTATCATCCCAGAGAAAGGGAAGCCTGTGACCGGGTCATCTGACAGCCTCCGGGAGTGGTGGAGAGAGAGTGTCAAATTCGACCAATGCGCACCCCAAGCTTTGCAGCACTTGATTCCTGCTATTGCAGAATGTGCAGCAGGTGCGCTTCATGATGAGAAATCCACATCCTTGTTGCATATGTTGCAGGACCTTCAAGACACCACGCTAGGATCCCTCTTATCTGCACTTATGCAGCACTGTGTCCCTGCTCAAAGGAGGTTTCCACTTGAAAGGGGTTTAGCCCCTCCTTGGTGGCCTACAGGAGACGAGGTTTGGTGGGGAGAGCAGGGCCCGCTCTCCGTGGAGCAAGGCCCTCCTCCTTATAGGAAGCCCCATGACCTTAAGAAGGCTTGGAAGGTTAGTGTTTTATCTGCAGTGATCAAGCACATGTCCACTGACTTGAACCGTATGACGCGGCTGGTCAAGAAGTCTAAGTGCCTTCAGGCTAAGATGACTGCCAAGGATACTGCTACCTGGTCTAAGGTTGTGGATCAAGAAGAGGATCTCCTACAGCTCACCAACCAATGTCTCCACATAACGAATAAAGAAGTTGATTGTGATGGTGACGAAGATGGAGATGGTCATGTGAGTTTGGCGCGCAGTAACGAGCTTCAGCACAACAAGAGGAAGGCTGCAGGTGCTTTCAATCATCAAGATACAGAAATGGTTTACAATTGTGATGACTTACAAAGTGAGGAAGCAGAATTGGGGTTTATGGAAAAATACAGTAGAAGAGACCAATGTGATTTTTTACCAAGTATAAGTCCAGGATTTGAATCTGCTTATGCGAATCTAGTTGCAGATTACGACAGTTGCCATAATTTGCAACACAAGACAGCCTCCTTACCATTAGATTTTCAAATGTCTGACTCGAGTGGCGATTCAACATTTCCTCTTTCTCCTTGGACTTGGGACGGCCATGTTCGAGCATGTGAGGAATCAGAAGTCATGAGTAATGGTGATATCACATTGGCAGCAGGCGAAGATCACGAGACGACTTACATGCAGTGTCACCCACAAGATCAAACACGATACTGGGAAATTGGTGATGCTCCACATCTGGATTTGGATGCTGCCTTTCAACTTCACAGAAAAAACTTGGCCCTCCTTGAGAATGCTCAAGAAACTTCTATCTGGGATCTACCATATCAAGAACCTGATGATGACACAGACTGAAGACCTTGTTCCTTTTTGTTGTATGCAAATCCTCTTTACTATTTGGGATTGGTAATGTGGCTATATATCACACTGCTTTGTTCTTGATTCAAACTAGTAATGCTATTTATTATTATATTGTAGCCTTTTTTTCCCATGTACTTGTGAGTGTATGCGTATTCATGTGTTTCCATTCCAATATACAAAACGATAGCTAAAAAAAAAAACATATTTATATGTTTGTGAAATGTATACTCTCAACATAAAACTTGCAGTACTACTTGTGGTGGTGGTTTGAAATTCAGTTACATAAAGCAAGCACTTTCATTGTGATTTGAGTCCATCTTATAGAGTTATATACAGTAACATAGTATTGGCAGCAATACTGTGATGATATTGAATGCTCATCTAAGAGCATGGTTATAGTCGTGAAAGTGGAAATTTTTGTAAATGAAGTGAGACAACCATTTTGAGGCTACAAAGCATAGGATAGCCACCGTGAATGCAGCAGTCCGTTGAATCGTGGTCATCATTCCTTGCTTAGTTAGTCCTACCACCCCGATCAGACCAAAAGATATCACCTGAAGCGCTGTCTCAGCTATGTTTAATCCTTTATAAGCAGCATTACAGCTGGAACAATTCACTACATGAGTCCAGTACCTAAAACATTTATTACACACTTGTTAGACAATCCAATATTATAGTGGCAATAACTTGATTTTCTCCTGATCCTTAGCTAAAAATACAGAATTTTGAGCACTCATGCTTAGAGTCGAGCTCTGTAGTATACACACCTGTCCAGTAGCTCTTCGCGTGGAGGAGTTGGGGGAAGAGCTCCTCCATTGAACTTGGAACCCCAGTTCACTTGGCCTTTTGAATATTTGTTCAACCACTTTCTATACCCAACAACAAGAGCATCTGCCTTTGTTGGTACAAAACAGGTTTTATGCCAATTGGTTGGGCCAAACTCCATTATTTTCCGTTCCTAATGATGATGAGAAAAGCTTAGTAGCAGGATAACATCAAAACTATTATACTACTTGTATATCCTTGAAAAGTTACAAAGAAAGTGTACCTGAACGTGAAGAAGATAAAGATCAGAATCAAGAATTAAGTTTTGATTGAGATGGAACACCCATCTTGGGATGATTCGGTCCATCCAAACAGCAAAATTGCTGGGAAATGACCATATCAATCGGCTTATGCCTGGACTGACGGGAATACATATGAATATGAGAACAGCCCTTTTCTGGGCTGACACCACCACTGAGGACACCTGCTAAGAATCAGCCAGTTTGTTTATGTTTGACCAATGTTGTAATACTTGTATAATATTAGCTACAAGCAAGAATCCCTAATCTTAAACAACCTTATTATTCACTGCTGATGAGACTGATCCATTAGCATTGTCAGGAGGTGGATCTGGATAAACATAGTAGATACAAGGCGCAAAGAACTTGCCAGAACCCCAGTCTTGTTTTGTAGTGAATCCATTGATGTCCATGTCCTTTACACTCAAGTTAAGAGGTCTTCCGCCTTCTCTATCAGCCTTTACTTTGGGAGTGGGTGTTTTCAATATACCATAGTGCGCGTAAGGAACATGTTGATAAGTATATTAGGTGACTCGTACTTCGTAGCTTTGTCCGCCCGATCGGGCGGACATTGCCCGGTCTGACCGGGCGGAAGAAGAAGAGGTGCCTGGCAAATTCGTTGAAGAAGCTGCTCTCGCGCCCGACCGGGCGAGCCTTCGCCCGACCGGGCGAGCCTTCGCCCGATCGGGCAGACCTTGCCCGGTCTGACCGGGCGGTGGGGGTTGGATACGTTGAAGCATTCGTATGGAGTTTTCTTCTCGCGCCCGATCGGGCAGACCTTGCCCGGTCTGACCGGGCGGAGAAGGAAAAATACGGAACGCGGATTTTGCGGTTTTAGGTTATCTTATTTTATTATCTTTTTGCCCAAGTATCTTTTAATTAGGGATTAATATAAAACCTCCCTAATATCAGTATTAGGGTCAAGAGAGATAGAGTGAGAGCCGTTCTTGAGAAATACAAGAATCATCTTTGTAATCTTTGCAGTTTATAGTGAAATCATTCGATCTCGGTGCCCGTGGACGTAGCTATCACATCGATAGTGAACCACGTAAATTCTTGGTGTTGTTCTTATTGTTTGCATTGAATTTCTTTATTGTTTTCTTGTTTGTTTACGACCTTTGCTTCCGCTGTCGCACAACAATTGGTATCAAGAGCTCAGGTTCAATCCTTGGAGAGTTTCTTGAAGATAACAATGGCAGGAGATTCAACAATAAGAATTGAGAAGTTTACCGGGAAAAATAGTTTCGGGCTATGGCAAATTAAGATGAAGGCTCTGTTAAAACAACAGCAGATATGGCGTCCGTTGGCTCCAAAGAGTACTACTTCGGAGTCAGGAGACGGACCGACTGACTCGCAGTTAGAAGTTATGGAAGAGAAGGCACACTCTACCATATTACTTAGTCTTGATGATCAAATCATCACGGAGGTTGCTGATCAGGAAACGGCGGCTGGATTGTGGCTGAAGCTGGAGTCATTGTATATGACTAAGTCGTTGACCAACAAATTATTACTGAAACAGCGGTTGTTTAGCCTCCGGATGCAGTCAGGTACTTCCTTACGGGAACATCTAGAAAAACTTAACTCTATTTTGCTTGATTTACGTAATTTAGATGTTAAAATTGATGATGAGGATGCTGCGTTGATTTTACTTGTATCTCTACCGTCTAGCTTTGAGAATTTTGTAGAGTCTTTTGTTGTTGGTAAGGATTCTATAACCTTAGAAGAAGTGAAGGCAGCACTTCATACTAGGGAACTCAGAATGAAAGCTACGAGTGATAATGGGGATAATGGTAGTGGGTTATTTGTTAAGTCCGGAAAGTCTAAAAAGAATAAGGGGTTTAACAAGGGGAACAATGCTGGGTCGGGTGCTGGAAACGGCAAGGATGGATCTAGTAAAACTACTACTAAAACATGTTATTACTGTAAAGAACCGGGTCACTTTAGGAATAATTGTCCGGTGAGGAAAAACAAGTCCCAGGCTGCTGTAGTTGAAGAGAAACCGAATGAGAGCTATAATTCAGAGGAAGATTTAGCATTAGTCAGTTCTGCTAGGTCTGATGATTTATCTGATAACTGGGTTCTAGATTCGGGGTGTTCGTTCCATATGTGTCCACGTCGAGATTGGTTTGATACATATGAACCTCGCAATGGGGGTATGGTTATAGTCGGTAACAATGCTCCATGTAAGGTCACAGGTATTGGTTCCATGAGGTTGAGGACTGTTGATGGGCGGAGGTTAACTTTGACTAATGTACGGCATGTTCCTGCTTTAGGAAAGAATCTGATTTCATTGGGTACCCTGGATGAATTGGGGTACAATGGTGTGTTTTCAGATGGGGAGTTGTGTATTTTCAGAGGTTCTGAGTTGGTACTTAAGGGTATCAAAAGGAACACCCTCTATGTTTTTGAGGGTGTTACACTGCCTAGTTCTGCGGTTTGCGCATCTGTATCTCACCAGGAGATGACTAAGATTTGGCACATGAGGCTTGGTCATATGGGGGAGAAGGGGATGCAGCTATTGTCCAAGAGGGGTCTTCTATCCGGGGTCAAGGTTGCCAACCTTGAATTTTGTGAGCATTGTGTGTTTGGTAAGAAACACAGGTCAAAGTTCAGCAAGGGTGCTCACATTACTGATGCAGTGCTCGATTACATCCATTCAGATTGCTGGGGTCCATCTAGAGTTGAAGGTATGGGAGGTTACCACTATTTTGTGTCATTTGTTGATGACAAGTCCCGATACACATGGCTTAGGTTGCTTAAGTCAAAGGATGAGGCCTTCAAAGTTTTCAAGCAATGGAAAGCTTTGGTGGAAAATCGACAAGGAAGGAAGATCAAGAAGCTACGAACGGACAATGGGCTAGAGTTTTGCAAAGACGAGTTTAATCAGTTCTGTGCAGATGAGGGTATAGGTCGGCATCATACTGTCAGGAAGACACCACAGCAGAACGGTGTAGCAGAACGGGTTAATCAGACACTGCTAGAGAGAGTCCGATGCATGCTCTCTAATGCAGGGCTTGGGAGGAGGTACTGGAGTGAAGCTGTGTTAACAGCTTGTTATGTCATTAATAGGGGTCCTCATTCTGGAATTGATTCCAAGATTCCGTTTGAGATCTGGAGTGGTAAGTTGCCTAATTTTTCGAATTTGAAGATTTTTGGTTGTGTTGCTTATTATCATGTTATTGAGGGTAAGCTGGATCCACGAGCCAAGAAGGGGTGTTTTGTTGGGTACGGGGATGGTGTGAAGGGGTTTAGAATTTTTTCACCTTCGGAGGGTCGGGTCATTCTTAGTAGGGATGTTACTTTCGATGAAAACACCATGTATTCAATTAAAAATGCAGAGATTTCAGATTTGAGAAGGGAAGGAGACAATTTATTACAGACAGATGGGGTACTTGAGGTACATCAGTCTACCATTGCTGATTTACCTCGGGTACAATATATTGATGATGATGCTGATGTTCCAGTGCCGGGTACTCCTGAACCTGAGATTACTCCTACTCATTCTAACTCTGGGGATGAGGTGGAGCAATCTAATCAGGGGTCATCTAGTCAACCTGACACCATTCTTGAGATGCCTAAACGAGTTATCAAGAAGCCTGTTAGATTGATTGAAGGGATGGAGGGAAGAAATTGCTGTGTTGATGCGATGACAGGTTATGCATTGAGTGTAGCTGATGATGTAGAGTCATTTGAACCTGCCACATATAAACAAGCAATTAGTTGTAGTGAGTCTGCGCAATGGCTTGCCGCAATGGGTGAAGAGATGCAGTCTCTTTACAAGAACAGAGTGTGGGAACTGGTAAAGGTACCGGAAGGGAGGAAGCTTGTGGGTTGTAAATGGATTTACAAGAAGAAAGAAGGGTTGTCGGAAACTGAGCAAATACGTTTTAAGGCTAGGCTAGTTGCTAAGGGGTTCAGTCAGGTAGAAGGGGTTGATTTTGTTGAGATATTCTCACCTGTGGTTCGACATACTTCTATCCGTGTGTTATTGTCAATTGTAGCACATTTTGATCTTGAGCTGGAGCAGTTGGATGTTAAAACGGCTTTCCTTCATGGCGATTTGGAGGAGGAGATTCTGAT